TGAGAAAAAGAATCCTAGAATCCTAGTGCTCACAGGTAGCTGATCTAGCTAGAGGAACAAACATTGCTGTACATATACTAGATGGTTAGGTAGGCACAACCTATTCAGTTCAGCCTACTGGCATTTGACTACAAGGTGTTCCTCAAATCATCCCTCACCATGTGTTAAACTTCAGCCCATAAAAACAATTTCTCGTTTCAAATCTCTGAAAAGAGGTTGATATGTAAAGGGTATCAGAATAATAAATGCTGCAACCAAAATTTAAACATTTTTAAACATCATTCCTTTTTACACCACATACTGGTTGTATTTAGAAGAATCCTAAAGTGCTTCAAACCCAGCAATTGATAAAGTTGATTTCTTTTGTGCAAAACTGCAAGCACCTTTTCAAAAAACAAGCAGCAGCATCAGGATGAAAAACTTATATAGTCAGTTGTATTTTCTCTATTTTGTTTTGAATTCTTGGACCAAAATAATTTGCTGTATTTTCAAAACCAAATTGCAGAAAACTGTATTTGAATAGTTCAATTTTATACTGGACTTGTTACACTGTTTGAAATAGTGGACCCAGGTAAAATTATACCCAACAAAGCAACACTGTGGGATTGAAATCAAACAACTAAAATTTTAGCTACAAAAATAGTGATTTTTTATAGAACATAAACAGAAATGATGGTTCTCTTTCTACTTTCCTCCACCACAAAGATGACAAAAGATGTTTACTTAAAACATTAGTTTAGCTCCAGGTATTTTTAGCATGCAGAGCAGGCAAAAAAGAAAACTGATTGGGTAAGTTGTGTTATAAGCTTTTAGAGCATCATTATCACTCATGTAAAAGACAACTTGAAATACATGTAAAAATGAGCCAGAATACACTATTTCCTGACATATTTCAACACGTTAAAAAAAATAATCAGACACTCTGAAAAATGAAAGAATTCACTAGATTCATCTACAGGAACTCAAGTCCAAATTCTGCATCTGGGTGCAAGTGCCCCTGGATCAAAACCAGTTTTGAGCAGGAATTACACATCCCAGGAAAGAATTTAGTTCCCAGTATATGGTATCACGAAGTTTAGCATCAAGCCCTGATAGAATCCATGTGACATATGTAGAATATACAGACAAAGGCTGCTCAGCATTTACCCCCCACCACACTTAAAAGTACTTCCATCTCCAGTGGGACCATCCCTACAGCACCCCCAGGCAAACTGGGGACTCCAACCAACACTGTGCTCAGTAAAGATCTGTCTGCACTTGGACATCTGAGCTTCCAGCACACACCAAACTAGGACTGCACTTCTGTCAAAAGAAGGGTCATCCCCCCTCCCCTTGGGTGTCAGTTGTATTTTGAATGTCTAAGTCAGTAAAAGGAAAATTGGCTTCCTCCTGGCTCAAACCAGGACAGTCTCACTTCATTCACAAGATGATAATTTTAAGCCAAATAATATCAGATCTAAAAAGGAAACTGATTTAGCATTTAAGGCCCTTCCTTTAGGAAAGAAAAATTACTTACTTTTTAAACATTAATTCTGAATAAACACATCTGCTCTGTTAGGACTTCAAAAAGACAAAGAAAATCTCAAGAGCCCTTTGGTTCCTAACAGGTTTTGAAATTTACCAACCAATTGGTTAATTTCTAGCTAACATTGAGTTTATTTTTATTATTTTGACAAGGAAATGCAAACCCTTACTGGAAACATTACAAAACTTCAAAGGCTGTTTGCAAACACCAGCTTCCAGCCATTGGACTAGCTTATTTTGTATGATCCATGCAGACAAAGCCTTATTTTTGACATTCATTTCTCATCTTTTTCCACAGAAAACTAGACTGGTTGTATCACAGTACTTCCTCAGAGCTCACTTACAGGCTGCTTATCCAGATGTCAAAACACCAAGCTTCTAAGATTTCTTTTTGAGGAACAATGGTGCAAGCACAGATGAAATGAGCTGTTTAAAACATACTCCATTTCTGCAATGCCATTCAGCTACTCAGTGTTCATATATTTAACATAATGTTTCTGGTAGATAGTCTGATTGATAGCCATAGATCCCTCTTGGTTTTTTTTCAGGTGAGCAGTTAAGATGATAGATTGTATCTATGTTGACCACCCCTTATTTTAGTTGTATTTCATAAATTGTCTATGTATACTGCAGTAGTGTTAACACTATACAAAGTCTCTCATCAAGAAAAAGTAACATTCATGTTTACAAAACTGAGAAGGTTTTTTAATATATGTGTAAACACACTCACATATTCTTAATCTTTAAATACATATAAATATTTATAAATGCCAAAGTGCAAAAAAAAAAAAAAAAAGGTCAATTGCTTCACTTTACATACATTATTTTAGTATTAGGAATAAAAGGGATTATATTGCACACCAGACTCTCTAAACATGTGCATTTTGTGTTCCATAACTGATGAGGTTTTCATGGCATTGGAACCATTTGACAAAGGTGGCACTGAACTTCACCTGCAGCCAGGAATGCAGCTGCAGGAACACAATCTGCATGCAGGGTGGTTACAGTGTGCACTGACACAGGGTGGGGGCTCCTGCAGGCACCTCTTCTGCAGGCATTTCACTGACTCCCACCTGCAGAAGGGCCTTCTTCAGCCCCATGCTCATTTCAGGTTATTAGCAAACTGGGTTTGAATTCTACTGTAATCAAAATCCACAATATTCACAGATATTTCATGCATGCTCTGAAGCAGCAACATTTCTGTAAGGCTTTGAAGCTTCAATGTATGCCACAGCAAGAAGACATGAAAAAAATTAAGATACCAGACAGCTTTTCCTACAAAGAGATTTACAAATAAGCTCAGTTAATCTCAGGGGTTTTTTTTTGTTCCAAGAGAACAGACTCAAGCTAACAGTTTGTACTGGGAGAAGGTCAGATACCAGTCCAGACCCTGGAGACAGGGCAGTTGTGTTAAAAAATAACATTTAAAGACAAGTTGAATCACAGAATTCTTAGGTTAGAAGAGACCTGGAGGTCATCTGATCCAACTCCCCCTTGTTCTGAGCAACCCAAGTCCAACAGGAAAAATTCAACTCTGTGAATATCCAAAACACATGAAAAAAGTCTTATTTTTGCATTAAGTCTTCTAAAGCAGTAACTGTTAAAATGAACACAGCACAGTGCAACTTCAGTTGAAGTAGATAAAAATATTGAAAAATGAAACCCAGCAGACTCCTGCCATAGTGAATCACTAATGTGCATTTTTAATAGGTGTCTTTAGTTATTTTCACTTACACAAATCAGGATTTTAAAAATGCAAAAGAACTGTCCTGTCCTGTTGTGCTACATGTATGGTAAATAAGTATTTTAAAATGTTTCTTCCAGTGATAAATATGCACTAAAAATATTTCACACAGGTCAGTATTCAAAGATAAACTAAGATATCTGTAGGTTTAAAACCAAACAGCAAGAAAAAACTCAAGCCCAAATATCCTGCAATTCAATTAAAGAGAATTTTTAAAATGCAATATTCCAGATGATAATGATCAGGTTAATATGATGTTAAGTACTTCGGTAATTTTTTTTTAAACTTCTGGGACAGCGAAACCTTAATGTATTTGCTACAGCAAATCAAGCTATTATAAAGAACTACAATTTGAATATAAAAGTGTGCATGAAGAAAAATCACTGCTTTTCAAATCCTAAGGTTAGAAACAACAGATAATTTTCTTTTACAAGAGAAATATGCAGTGGCTGGCTGGGCCAGTAGGTTTTGTAAGTTCTATTTATATATTCAAGTCAAGAATATCTGGATCAACAGCTAAATATAGTGCCTTTAAGAAAGTGGTGTTTTACCTCATCTTGCAAATCTCCATTACTCTTGCAGTTACACAGTTTACTTTCACACACATGCACACACAGAAGATCCTTTAGCAAAATTTCACACCTGCACGCTCCAGAGTGAGTGTGCACAAATTCACAAGGGTGTAGGATAAAGCACTTTAAGACCTACTCTTCTGCAAACACAATTTATAATTCATCCTATTGTGCAACATAACAGGCCATGTTTATATTAACTGATTCTGAAAGCTGTATTGATAAGCCTGTATAGAAACAGCAAACAATGTCCTCCTCTTATCAGCCACTGTATTTAGAAAATACATATTGAGCATGTTTTCCTCCCCTAGTACAGAGAGGTTTTCCTAATGTGGGAGTACAGCTAAGTTCTATTATCTAAATACTTAATTTACAAGTGACTCAAAGCTACAGTATTTTTATCTCTTTATTACTCACTAGATAGAATGGACCCATTAAAATAATGGAAAACATTTATGCAGCTCTTTCTGAGGCTGCAAGTCTCTCCAATTCATCTGTCCTTTTGCCAGATTTTGCAGTGAATGAAGAGCATCACGGATACAACTTCCTTTCCTGTTTTTGTTAAAGGATCAGTATCAGAAGCTAGAAAATACAGAACATTTTAGCACTCCCCTCTCTACTATGTAGGCTTTGCTTCACAGATAAGTCACTCATCCTTCCTTAAGATTTAATTAAGCCACTGTATCTTCCATCCACCCATGTGTAAAAAATTGAGACATACTCAAGTGAAATACCAAGTAAAGGCTATATTCTTGCAACCTCACTCTTCTCTCTTCTACAAGAAGATAGTCAGAATCATTGGAAGTGATGACAGAAAGGGCTCAATTTAAAAAAAAAGTGCTATGTGGAAGAGTAACTGCCCTCTAAACATAGTCCTGTTCAGTGTGAGAGCTCACATGTACAACACTCCAATCGTTAAATAAAGCAAACTGCCAGTCACACATTAAAACATACTTCATAGAGACTATACATTCAAAAAACCTACTAACGAGCAATACTGTACTAAAATGTAAACAACCATTGTGTCACAGAAGCCTGTCAGCTGGGACTGAAGATTCATGAACCCACTTACGAGAAGTTGTTGGCTAAAAGTCTAATATAACTGCTCACCTGAAACAGGCTGAAAAAAAGAAAAGCCTAAGATAGTGTCTAAATTTGAATTTTTTTGTTCTTTAGACATTGATTTGCTTTCATTCTACAACATTAAGCAGGCAATTTCATAACAACTGAGTAAAAAAACAGGCATTACTTTAGCAGAACATGCAGAATGGAGTTTTTCTACTTGGTTCCATTAACTTACAAGCAATTCAAGCCCGATGGAAGCAAGAGCTCTTTTCCAAAGTCAAGTCTGCAATCCTGCCTGATCATCGACATCCTTCAAGGGGTCCTGTCAAGGCATCGAGGCTGCTGTCTGTATCTGAGGCCAATGTTTGCTCTGTTGACATGGATGAAATGTCATTGATAGATGATGACTGGGAAGGACTGGTGTTGCTATTCACTGCTGCATCTGTGCTAAGTAAACCAAACATAATAAAATCTGAGGCATGACAAGACTGCAGGTACAAATAACCCCACTTCTAGGCTCTGCACATCACCTTCCCCACAGAAATCCTTTGAAATAAACTAATAAACAGTAGAAAAACAACCACCAAGCTCCTTACCACCCAAAACCCAAGGTGAATATGAAGAGTTTGTCTTCAAGAAGAAAAAAACCACAATATATAATGTCAATAGTGACCTGAGTATCAAGAAATCTAATAGATACAGTTAATAAAAGACAGCACAATATTCCAGTGACCGAACCAAAAGAACATCAAGGAGTCAATATTCAATACTTCGCACTGTTAACTATTTTAAACCAAGGAGAACTTACAATATTTAACCCTGGATGGAAAGGACTCATTCCTGCAGAGCCACAGAATAAGCATCAAAGCTGCAACAGCTGATAAAACCTGGTGCAAATTATTTCATTTGATGACTGAGCCCATTGGGGAGAAAGCAGCTCAGGGTGTTGCACACCTAAAACTTCTCAGGTTTTCCTCCAGCTTGCTTCCTAACAATGAAAAGCTGCACATGGACTTCCAGAGGCTGATCAGAACCAAGAGCCTTGCACACCAAAACTTTTGCCTACCTGGATTATTGAGCAGGATTTCTTCACTCACTGGTGCAACAGCACTATGGGTCACACTTACAGGACAACTACTGAAACAATGACTAACCTGAGGGCTGATCTTTTACCACACCATTCTTGCTCCTTTCTTCCCAATCCATTACTTCTTTGTATATTAATTCTTAAGAGAAAAGGGTGGGAGGAAGGAGAGAAGAGACAAAAAAAACACTAAGATTTGTATACCATTTACATTTGTGTAAAGGTACAGTGACATGGTTACAGGTCATAGCAACTTTATAGGTTTGGGGTTGGGTTTTTTGCTTTTTTTGGTGGTTTTTTTGTTGTGGTTTTTTTTTTTAATGCCTATAACAACAGAGAATTTTACATGTTTTCTTTATGCGTAACAGAAAGACACTCAGCATGTACCAAAATCAATATATTTTTAAAATAAAATAGTCTCCACCCCAAAACTTTACATATACCTGCAATACTATAATATTAACTGCAATTAAAAAAAGATCAGATTTGGATTAAAAACACACATGCATAATCCTTGTGGAAATTTCACTTTGCTAACAAAGCCATACATGAACATCTTAACTGTTAAAGAAAAATTCCCACAGATACATTGAGGAAAGCCTCAACATTCTGACATAGATTAAACAACCAAAATATTTCATGAAAACCACCATTTACTAATCAAGGATGACTTAGGATACAGGCATCTCAACAACAACAAAAAATGAAGAGAGCTGTGGCTTTAAAGAAGTATCCATTACTGTTTCATACATCTCTAGTATGGCCACTTCTAGGGCAAAAGGATTACTGATACTGCAGAGCATCAAGTACACTTTGAGTTATACATATTTACTCCAAGTAGAACAGTTTTTCATTATTAATTTATTTTCATATTGGCACAAGCAGTCCTGTGTAACTGGAATAGTGGGTTCCAGTCAGCTCCACAATCCAGCACGTATCCTGCCAGCCACACATTAATAATAAAAGTTAGTACAATAAATGTCATCTGTCATGCTCAATTTTTACCTTTCCATTCTTCAATGGCATGTTCTCTTTCTTCCAATTGTGCATCATAGATTTGGGGTGGGGGCTGCAAAGAAAAAAAATCCATAGTTTATCTACTACATTAGGTTAACAGAACCAATCACAACTAAAAAGACTTGAAAATGACTATTTTTTTAGCATTTTGTTACCTTTACCTTTGGCAATCTATTTCCTGTACCTCAAATAAAATCCATTTTACAACTCCAGAGTCTGCTTTTAAATCCTACCTCCCACTGCAAGGCTGTTTAAAAGCATGACTTAAATTAAACTAATCATAAGGCCTTATGGGGCCTTAGATAAAGTCCCCTTTTAAAAAAGCCCTAGAGATTACCACCACAGAGGCAGCTCTTTCCATAAAATAAAGGGAACCACCACCAATAACTACATTCAAAACTATTAACAACTTCACTCCAGCACCTTTTCTTCAGGAAATTCTGTCTTTAAAGCTGACCTGAAGACTTGATCTAAGACTTTTGCTAGCTGAAGAATAAGTTCCAAGCATGCTCCTGACTAAAACTTAATGTACTCTTTAAAAAAGTTATTTAACTCATAACTTAAAATTTATTTTAAATGCAAACTTACAGCTTCTGCTACAGCAGGATCATACCAGACAGTAATATAAGGATGGCGTAAGGCTTCATCTACAGAAATTCTCTTGTCTGGATCTACTACAAGCATTTTTGATAATAAATCTCTAGCTTGACTGGCTAGAAAGTAAAAATGAAAAGAACACAGGTGTGAGAGAGCTGTGCAGGTTAATGCCTGACACAGAAAACAAATACTGGGAATAGATGACACACTGCAGCAGATTTTTTAAGCCTTTCAACAAGTTACACTGGTTGGTGTGACATGAGAACACTTCACTTTTAACCCCACAGGGTTAGAGAAGTCTCACTTCACCCCCATTTTAAACCAGCTGTGAAGTACCAAAGCCCCACAATCTTATACTCTAAAAGGTATTTTGCTATTAGTCAAAACATAAACCCTGCAGCTGCCACCAAGCAACCTCAATTTTGAACATTTCTGTTGTCACATGGATCACAGTTGATTTGACACTAATTTCTGAACATAAGACACACCAAACATTATTAATAAACTTTAAAAAATACACTTAGGTAGAGTAACAACCTGAATTCTCCAATCTCAAAGCAACAGACATTGTTCAATGCAAGAGAATGAAACAGAATTCTAGGAACAGGAAAATAGTTCTGCATTTAATGACTACTACTAAGATTCCAGGACATGTCATAAATTAAAAAAAACAGACATGCAACTTCTAACATGGACATGCACAGCATTAAACATTTTATATTAGGGTTTTTTTTAATCAAGTGTATTGCAGACATTTAAAATTAACTTTTTTTAAAAAAATATAAAAAACTCGCCTTACTTTTTAACTTGTCACGATCTGATTCTGATGGGAATATCCAGTCTGGGAAGAGCTCTTCAAATTTAATACCTGGATATTTTGGCCTGTTTTCTACATAATTCCTCACTGTAGGCTGCAGTTTCTTCATGAAGTCTGCGGATGGTGTTCCTAGTTGTTCAATAACTTTATTCCACTGATCAATATCTGCACCATATCTTTAGGAAAATCAGCTGGAGAATTTGAAGTCTGCACTACACAAAAATATCACTTACAGAAAAGTTAACGAAAACTTGGACAAAGGACACAAATACAAACTTCATTCTAGCAACAACAGTATCCTGAGCTGCCATGCAAAAAGCTAGGCTGACATAAAAATAATCCTCAGACTTTGTAACCTTAAGGCCAGGCTAGAAGTGCTGCACAGCACATGATGCTTAAATATCTTCTGCCAGTTATTATTTCTTGGCCAGTATTGAAAACAATACTTGATGCCAACTCCAAAAGAAGCTTTATTTAGCAACTGCCAAACAATGGAAAAGGCTGCTCTTGAATCTTCAGGATTACATTATACCCACCATCTACACTGAAGATTCTTGAAGGTAAGGCAAAAATACATGTAAAAACCTAAAGAACAAACACATCCCATTCAAAGTAAGGAATTCTGTGCCTTTCTCCTAAGGAAAATATGCTTTGGGTTGCAGGGGTTTTTAGGAGAATTGGTTGGACAGCTGAGGTTTTCTGTTATTGTTTTGGGGGGTTGGTGTGTTGGTTTTTTTTTATTTCCAACTTTAGGGAAGGTTCAAAGGCTTTCTCAACAAGGTGTCCAGATTCCCGTAGGTTTTTAACAGGTGAGGTTTTTTTAAGTGCATTAACTGTGGTAACAATCCAAGACTACTCTGTTCTTAAAATCTGAATTGAAATATTTTATGGGAATTGTGTTTACAAGCAACAAGTTGAAATTGTACCTATTTCTTTTGGACTGTCCCTTCTCCCTCTTTCAAGTGAAGGCATCTCCCCTAGACATGGTGACACCCATTAGAGAGATACCAGAGGCTGCTCTGAACCAGCCTAGGTGGGACAACAAAGCTCATTTATCACCCTGAGAAGACACTGCATTAGTATGACTGATATAAAATTTGCTCAGATCTGCACTTTATAGTCTTTCTGATAAAAATAAGGTGCAATTCCAGCAGAGCCAAACCATCAACCTTGCAAACATTCATAGCTAAATCCATAACCTAGCAATTCCACTTATCCATTCTCACAGACAGATTTTGTAACAGAACAACAAATTTGCTGCACTTTGAATTAAGATGCATTTTAAAAACACTGAGGTGTTTTTATTTCAGTTAGTGGGCCAAGAATACAACTAGGAATATATGCACAGTCATTGCTTCATACTAAGACTTTAGGCTTCTAGCACAAAGATTGAAAATTGTATTTGCTTACTGAATATATTCCAATGGAAAAACTATATTAAAATCAAAATTAAGAAGTCAATATTGTTAACTCTCATGCTGAAACAAAGCACATACAAATACATTTTGAACATACATCAGGAAATTTTGTCCCAAGCTGAAGAATTGATTTCTGTGAGATCTCCACCAATCTAGATTCAAGAAGATGCTTTTTCTTTGAGTAACAGCAGTCTGGTTAGTCAGCTAATCAAATCAGAGTCCAGTTTACTGTGACCTCAGAGCACTGGGGAGAGGGCAGAAAAAACTTAATGACTTAGCCCACATGAGTAATAAGAACTGGAAAAAAATAATTTAAAAAACCAAAACATTAAAAAAATATCCCTGCTATAGTGTTGGGCTTGAAATAAGCTAAACCTGTTATCAGGAATGAAACAGGGAGAAAATCTTAATTTCATTGTAAAGCATGCAGAGTGTGCAATGTGAACAAACCTCCAGGCAAAACTACCCTTCCTGTTCTGGTCACCTCAAGGTCAAAAGTCACCAGAACAGTTTAGTCCATGCCCAGTATGCTGGCCTATTTTTTGGGACTCTGGAATAAGTGAAGTTGAAAACAGTCCTTATTATAATCACAATAAAGCATGAATTTTCCTAAGAAAGAATGAACACACCCTCAGGCTTTTTGCATCAGTTGGGCAGTTTGTTTCCTTCACCACCTGGGCAGAAAGAGCAGTAAGAACACCCTGGTCCTGCTAGGCTTTCCCTTCTTTCATTATCAGCTACCTACAGTGCCCAGTTTTTCTACATTTCCCATTTCCACTGCAACAGCAACTGCCAGTAACTCTGGCCAGTAACTGCAGGACCTTGTTCATCCCCCATAGCACCCATCAGAAGCAGAGTCAGGGCATCCACCACCTGCCAAGGCAGAGCATCTCAGTCCAGCCAGACTGCTCCAAGGATCCCAGTAATCCTTGCTCACCATACAAGGAAATAAACTATGGAGTATAGGAATTGGCTTTCTGAAATATAGACAAGGGCACACATTAGGCAACATGCTGAACTTGGTTACCTGCTTTAAATCCCCAAATACGAAAACATTTTAATATTAAAGTTAAAAAAAGCCCAAAGAACCCAACACAAAAAACCCTCAAAATAAACCTACAAAAAGATGGGAAGCTTCATGGCCCAGCACATCAGCAGCCCCCTCAAACCACACTCTCAAATCAATCCTGCAGGTAAAGAAAAGCAACAATCTCACTGAAGGCGTTATGCAGCCAAGAAAACTTTCCACAAACAGTTATCAGGATTTCACATTAAAGAGAACTACAGTTCTTGCAAGAGGAAAAAAACCCTGTAAAGTCGTGCACTTTGGTAAAATACCAGGGGAGGAGACTCCTTGAAATGTAAGACTGGTGGAGCTTCAGTGACCTCCAGAGAGCCACAAGTGATAACTTGCATCATCAACAAGTATAGACAAAATTTCCTTCATTAATTCATGATTAACTCAAAACAGCCCATGCTAACATGCAGGTGAAAGACACATAACATCCATGAAGAATTGTGTTAGGTTGGTCTGAAGGCTTCAAAAGGTCAAACAATAAGTATAGAAAGGAAGAAAGGTGGAAAACAAAAAGACTTATTTAACAATCATCTGTAGTACTAAATAATGCATGATCAACTGCTGAAGATTAGTGTCATGAAATTTAGCATTAAAACTGAAAGTCCTCCTCTATAAGATACCCAGGAATCTGTGAACATGTACTTGACGCTTCTAGTGGTGGACTCAGCTTTCCCTTGGTGACAAGCAAAAATATTACACTTTCTTCAAGTGTATTTTCTTCTTGGATCACAAGTAGCTGTAGCTTCTTATCACCTACAGCCACAAAAGGCAATTGCGGTTTAATTACGTTGCCTGGATCCTATCTACTTACTGTTCAGTTTTGAATGCCTAGTCCTACAATACTACTACTTTATGTTATTTATAAAGGATTAAATTGGGTTTGCTCCAATTTTTATAATTAGAACTTGATAATGAGTCAAATGTTTTAGATTTTATTTCTATATATTCTATTATTTCTATATATTTCTATATATATTTTGAAATACATCAAAATCTTCCAAGAATATTTACTTTATTAAATGATCATTGATGTTCACTTAATATAAAGACTTGTTAGTGATCCAGTGATGTATTATTGAGATCTCCAATGGCTAAGCCATGCAAACATATGTACAAGGGATTTGTTTTTAATACAGAAAAAATTCCTACAATTTCTACTGCACAAGAAAGCAGAATTTTATCAAGACAAACCTGGGTCAAAAATATTGGAGGGAGGAATGGAGGAATAACACTCTTACAGAAAAAGTAAGCCCAAACCAAAATTTCCATAGAACAAAAAAAAAAACAACCTCCCAAAAGAAAAACTTTTTTTTATAATAAATAATAGCAATAAAAAAATACTTCTCATGCAGTGTGCTTGCAATTAGGACACTGCTATCCAGCAAATGTTAATAAGCACGGAAAAAAAATCTGACTGAAATGCAAAAAGCTGTACAATAGTAAAATGAGTCTATTGTTCAAAATGAATAGTAAGCAAAATCCATGCATAGTAAAAAGTAACTTTGTAGGCTTTTGCTTGTACCACTTATCTACAAAGAACAAGAGCAAGAAAATACATTTACTGCTTTTATTTTTTAAACCTAGCAGTATCCTTTTTTAAGGTATACAAACTAAAGCTCTTAATGTAAATTCTATGGATTCAATCAGTACAAATTACATTAGATATGGTCTACTAAGAAAATAAAAGGGAAAGGTCAACAATTTGGTTAATGACACTAATTTCAAATAGTACAGTAGATCTATTCAATCATAATATTGAAAATATTGTTTAAGCTTTTATACTTATACAGGTCAAAATAATTGTGTTTCTGTTGGAAGTGGGATGGGATTCAAGGATGACTAGGGAAGGATACGATCAGTGCCTTGGAATATCACACAACCTTTCACCAATTCTCCCATGATGCACCCAACTGACCAGATATCAACTGAAAGTAAAAATGAAATGATCAAATTATGAAGTATCATGAACAAAAGTGAGGAAAAACAAACAAAAACATCTATCACCTACAATAAAACACAACAAGGTGGAAAACCAAACTGCTAGCATGGATTTTCAATCATATCAACACCAACTGACTGTTGCTAAATTCTGTTATTAGCCATTTCTGAAATAGAGTCAGTGTTTACATTTCTGAAACAATCATGAAGGATACAATCTCTTCCTGGGAACAGGACTTTATGGAGGACCATTTCTGCCATAATGCACCCAACAGACCAGATATCCACTATCATATGTTAGGTGCAACAAGGACAAAAGATTAAAGAGGTTTTTTTAAATACCACCATGATGCATTTGCTCACTCACACTGTATTCCTACACTCCTGCGGATTATTTGTATTTTTTCCCCATCCAGAACAGCCTCTAAAGCTCTGATCCACATCAGCACTTGCTGTACTTGCACAATAATGAAGGATTTATTTTTTTTTTCCATTATCAGTGGCTCTGCACAGTCCTGTGAGTCCCTTGTTTCACACAGATGAAGTTACAAGGCTACAAAAAGTGTGGTAGCCCCAAGCCTCCTGTGATAAAGCAGAAGTATGTACTGGCATACAAGTCTGGAAGAGGCAGGGTAAAAATCAGCAGGTAAAACCCCCAGTAAGACAAGTCAAGGACAATTTCCTTGCCAGCATTCAATATCTTGTAGCTGTGGTGTTTTTAATAACACAGCCAGCCTCTCTGAGTGTTATGCAGATTTAAGGGAACATAAAATGTGGTTTACAACAGGGATCTGAAAGAGATTTCAATAATCTGAGCTGCAAAAGTGGACAGGCTGTTTAAAGAAGGTACTTCAGAATAAAAGCACATTGATAACATTTTATTGCTTACACAAAAAAACCCTACAACTGTCAATATATCATCCAACGCGTCTCAACTTTTTTTTGTAGGATGAAAAAAAAACGGCAACAAGGCAACACGTGACAATTGCCAGGGGTAAGAGCAGTGTGTGTTAATTAGAGATAAGCACACAGAGCAGAAAACTATTACATTCTTCAAAATTATTCTAGTTTAATGTTTTATTATTTCCAATCCTGTGATTAACACACTTTAACAACAGACATGGCAGGGGGGGAAATCTCTCCACCCCCCTTTTGTAGCTGTTTTTTGAGACAGGTACACTTTACACAAAAGATTTAAATCATTCCTCCAGCAACTTACCATTCTCTTTATATCCCATTCCAAGGATAACTTCTGGTGCTCTGTAATACCGTGTTACTACATATGGAGTCATCATAAAGTTAGTACAGGCTGTTCTTGCCAGTCCAAAATCAAGGATTTTGAGGGTACAATCTGATTTTACTACTATGTTGCTGGGTTTCAAATCCTAACAAGAAATTACTTCAGTTAAGGAAGGATCAATGTACAGAGTAATAACACCCCCTCCCTCTCCACAGTCAACATATGCCACCAATTAACTTGATTAACAACTGCATATTCCTTTTTTTTATTTATTTGCTTATTTATAAAGAAAAGGTAAACACTGCACATCGAAGTACTAAAAAAAATAAGCCATCTGCATTACAGTGATTTGCAAATTTTAGCGGAATTACGATGTGAAAACACAAAGTTACCCAGTGAGTGAGGAGAAAAATTAAATACTTTGGAAGATATGCCTCATGGGAACAGACATTAGTGGACCCAAAGGAATACAGAGTTAGGGAAAACTAGAATAATTGGGATTTATTCACAAAGTATCACAAGTAAACAAACTGCACATGTACTAGTACATTTAATTCTGCTTGTGTTTGACTTACTTTCAACCACACAAACAAAGTTTTCAGGTAGAAAACCCCCTTTTCTTAGAGGAGATGGGGACATGCAAATAGTCCACATGGGTTTGCATGTTTTAGGAAGGAAATAAGTCTTCTGCTGAACTCTACTTTGGTCACAGACTCTGAGTATTTTCTAGATGCAATTCCTACTATTCCATTCCTTCTGGATTACCCCAGCTCTGTTCCTTTCCTAGCTTGGTTTCTTTTCAAAACCAAATCTCTCCATTTAATCAAGTTTCCACTCCAGAAAGATCACTTTGTTTTGGTCCCAAACTAACCCAACCTAATGCTCACCACTTCAGCTTCTCCATTCAAATAAACTTCCTGCCTCTAGTTGGAGCAGCAGCAGGTCTGATTGCCCTGCTTACTCCTATGAGCCCAAATTTCTCAGTCAATACTACGTCTCCCCTTGAGTCCAAATCCCAGCCATGTCAGGTGCAGTTCAGTTGGGAGTTCCAGCCTTCCTCACTTCAGTCTCTCACACATCTCACTACCTAATTTTAGCAAAGCCCAGCACCATGACTGTCTGGATACAGACTTCAGTTAACTTCCTTACTAATACCACTGGATTTTCAAGTTAGACTTTTTTCACCAAAATAAGGAAGTAGATCTGTTGTAGTTTATACAGATTCTCAATTAGATTTATTGATTGACCCTGAAGAAAAAAAAGAAAAGCACACTAAACTAGAACTGGATAGAGTTTTCAGCCACCAGGCAAAAAAGAAAGAAATTTAATTTTAAGAAATTTAATTAAGAAATTAAAGGCAAGTGTGTCCAGGAAATAGGGGAAAGAAAGGAACAGAAAACAAAAGAAACTGTCAAACAGACCATGAAATACAAAAATAAACCAATAAAAAGAGCAGCAGAGAGATATATTAGGTCTGCACAGGACTTTGAAATTCTGGGAATTCAAAAACTTTGATCAGTTCAGCACTAATTAAATCCACAGAGCTAACCTGATTTAAGATCTATTTACAATGTAGTCTTTATCTTTGAACTAGAAACAATCTTCAGGTTCAATAATATTCTTATGAAATGAAAATCCCCCTGCCTCCCTCCCATTTCATCAAAACATCGGTGTTCATAAAGAGTATTGTTCATTATCTAATACTACCTACTCTGTGGATGATACCAGCTGAGTGGAGATGTTTGATACCACATAGCATTTGGTAAAGAAGATAAGACATTCTTTCATGATCCAATTCCATATGAATAACCTGGCACAAATTTGCATCCATCAGCTCCATAACCAAGTATCTAAAGCACAAGAAAGAAAGCGTTAAGAAAACTTGAGTCTTACTTTTCATATCAAGTTTAAGCTTAACATGAGATGTTTAATAAAGGTCACCTACTTTGCTAACATAAGTGTCAAAGAGCTTCCGATTTAAAAAAAAACCAACAAAACATGAATGACCACAGTTCCAAGATTAAATGACCATCTATTCAGATAGTCTTACTACTAAAAATTAAGTGTTTAACAGTCTATCCCAAGATTAGAATTCCACTAGCTTTATAAACAGTAATAATATAAACAGAAGAACAAATCTGAGTTTGTGCAGCATGAAAAACTAAGACTGACTGAAGTTGATGCAGGAATTTCAGGTGTATCAAAAAAAATTATGCTTCCTTTCATTGTATTTTAGTAAAAAGAAAAAAGCAAATTTAAAAAAGCACAATAAGAACTAAGGAATTAATTTCCAAGTTAAAATATTATCTACTTACCCACCTCAGACACACACTTCCCCATTTACCCAAGAATTTATCCATTCACACACCACAACAGAATATTCACTGGAATCTATAAATACCCCATCAATTAAATCACTAGGAATTCTTTCTTGACTGGCATAGCTTGCATCAAAAATAAATATATTCATTTTTTAATTGAGGCCAAAAATACTGTTGTGCTGATGTAACTGATATGGCAAAAAAAATTATATCAGGTTATCCAGACCAAGTTATTATCCCGAGGTGACCCATTTAGCTAAAGGGCAAAGCACACAAACCAGATGCAAACACCATCAGCAAAGTATGACAGATGAATGACAGCTAAGTAGCCTCTTTTTTATTATTTCCCACTTCCATCTCATGCATGTAGTGAAACAACTTTCTTGGTATTTCTGCAATAACTCTAGAAATAGAGAGTAATTATGGGCTAAATTCAGCTTTTAGCTACCCTCTGTTGGATAGTGGAAATAGAGCTACAGGGCTTAGGCCAGTATTTGTAAGGAAAATGAAAGCAAAAATCTAGTACTTACACATCTTGAAATTCTTCTAGTGACTTCTGTGGTGTAAATACATTTAATAAACTAATTATCTATAAAATAAAAACAAACATTAGAAGGAACTGCCACTTGAATTCACATGAAAATCCACTACTGCAGAAGCTACTACTGAAAATCAAATGCACACTATTACTACATACAATGTGAATGTTACTTGGCTTCACATAATTCACATGCTGAAAACCTGCCAATTCACAAACAGTTCAAAACTGCAGCACGTATGTCAGTGGAACCACAACAGAACAAACCCACTTGTTTTCTCTTTAAAGTCATGGGACATTTTATTTCCCTCCTCAGTGCCTGAAATGTATCCCATTTTTTCTCCATAAATATGAATCTCTACTTTTAAGTCACGTTTTGCAGTGAACTTCAGCCAAGGCTGCCCAACAACATGTACACAGAGATGCCCCACACCACCCCATTAAACTTAGATTATGATGTATCATTTCCAGACCTGCTAAAATTACTCTGCTGCCATCCTTAATAAAAACTTTGCTTTTATTCTGTTACCTTCCAACTTCACCAAAAGCTGACTTGAAAATCAATCTTAAAAGGCTGACTGACCCCAGGAAGTTTCTAGTTCATGTCAGTATCAGAATGTAAGTCACATAAGCTTTATTTCTTGTACTTGAAGGTTTAAAGCTTTTAGAATATATTTGTATTGTTGATAGTGTTTCACTTCTGCTTACCAATAAATTGTTAAACAAAGCTGCACCCCTGCAAAACCCCACGTGCTAAACACTGTATTTAATAAAAATCTCATTTAAGCTCAGGAGATTTAACTAAAGCACCACTCCAAGAGCCAAACCCACAAACAAACCCACTGCCAAGCAGGCTCTGCTGCAGTATGACTTAAAGGGGAAAAAGCAATACAGCAAGGCCAGCTCTATAAAGCTGACACTGATGGCAAACCTATATCAACAAGGCAGCAAAGACCTTCTGGCACTTCATACTCCAGACCTCTCACCCAAGAACTTAACCATCCGCCGTGGAGACCTGCATCACCTATAGAGAAACCTTCCCATCTCTCATTATTTTTCCATTAATTTGGAAACAGCAAATAAGAGACCAAATCCCGAGCTGTTTTGACAATTTACAGTAATGAGGGAGAGAAATATAAAGCCAGACTTACATTTTTGTGATTGACACATTTTAAAAGCACAAGCTCTCTGTAAGCCCTTTTGGCGTGGGTTTGATTCTGAAAAGGACGACTCAGCTTCTTCACAGCAACATTTATTCCAAGGACTGTATCAAATGCAGCACTAGAAGGTTTCAAAGATAAGTAAGTTAAGTTGAAGTCTGTTTGAGGGAGAGGAGAGGGGCAAAAGGGAGACAGGAATGAGGAAAGAAAACAAGATTTGAGACAAAGTACAACCACTGAGCTATTATATTAACTACATTTCATTTCAAAACCAAACACCCTTTAAAATCTACACATTCTTTAATAAATATAAATAGGTTAAACAGAAGCCACTGGCACTCAACAGAATTCCTCCTGCCCTCCTTTCTGTGTTAAGACCAAATCTGTTGACTCAAGACTCACATTCAAAATTGCAGGATCTAAAAATATTTCAAGCTTATTTGAAATCAAGAAGCATTCAATTGCCTAACTGTATATCTGGGATATTTTTGGACACTGTTGCTGGTTGACAATCCTTTAGGATTTGCAATAAAAATTTCTCTTTGCTAAAGAAGAATCACAACCATGTCTCTGTGATCCATTCTGCAGGCATCAGTACTCACCTGTATGCAGGTAGTTTACAATTATAAACAACTGTAGTGCCTAGCAGAAAGTTACATTCATCTTCTGGTTTTAGAAAAAAAATAACATCCATAGAATTGAGAAATATGGAAAACTCAGATTTCAAAGGCAATACAAGAATTTAAATGACCACTAATGAACATGACCTCTGATTTTATCTTGATTTTCAGTTGTGCTTGCTTCTTCCCTGTGCAGTTCAAGGTGCAGGTGTCAACTTGCCTTAACAGCTCTAAAAAGCTGAAGTTCAATTATCTAGGTATCCAAGATGAAAGTGGAAAAATGCGTCATTAACACAGACAATTTGGCAAAATATATGTGAATTCATACCACAAAATACTCTAGAACATCACTCTCTAAGCAGTTCCAGTTTTAAATAGATTCCACATTATTTTCATGTAATGTTATTTTCATAGTGTAGAAGACAATTCTTATTTTCTTATCTTTTCCAAGCACATTTAAGCTCCTTCCCTACCTCATCAAGATATGTATAATATGACTTAAAAGGACCATCATACGATAGTACTCCTGAAAAAAAAATCCATCTCCTCTGTGATAACAATACTGAAGTTATTATATTAAGTTTATCAACAGCAAACCACTGCTTTTCCTACCAGAAGAAGTGATGTCACCACAAAACACCAGAAACCCACAAGATGTTGTGCTGTGGAGGCATGTCCCAAATCTGAATCCATGAGCCACTTGCACTAAAAGCTTGCTAGCATTTCTTTCAACTTAGTTCTGTGCAATACATCACTCATTATTCAATGATTTGATCACTTTCAGATTTAAAGCCTTTATGTCTGTGCCAAACAATACACAAAATGGGAGGAAGGCAACTGGAGTAAGACAATTGGAGAAATTATTTTCCTTCCAGATATGAAAGCACTGATGCTTCAGTAGTCACGTCACCAAAATGTTTTATGTAAATTAAAAAGTTTGGCAGATGTTAATGACTAACTACACCTGGGAACTAGTATAACATCAATAACCAACAGGGTCTGCAGGAAGTAGCTGTGCAAGTCAATCCCAGGTTGGCACTGAACAAAGGAACAAATGTAGAGGAAGTGTCCCTTTGTTATTTAACAAATCAGGCTCAGCCTGAGCATGTATGAGGAACTCCACCTGAACCTCTTATTTTGCTCATCTACATGGGAGTGACTGAGGTCAACAAACAAACCCTGAAGCTGTCTGTTACCTACACAATCCAAGGGGAAGAATTAAAAACAGTCTGGTAGAAGAAAACAAACAATTGGTTAAATACTGTGTGAGCATGCACGTATTTAATTTACCAAGAAAAAAAGGGCAGAAGATAACCTGTATTGCTACCACAACCATAGTCCTAAATATCATGTAATTTTACAGAAGTAAACAAAATATAGTTGCTGCTGATAAGTTTCTTTCCCCATCCCTGCTCATTTGAATTCAAGAGATTTTCTCATCATGGCAACTGTTTCAGGCACAGATTTTTAAAAAGCAGATTTGCCAGAGTCCACCCAGTCATCACCTTGGCTACTAACAGAATGTCTAGAACTTATTTCAGCATTTGATATAATGGAAGCACCTCAATGTCTACCCCACCATATGATGAAATTGGAATCGCTGTTATAGTGAGTTGTAGTAGACTCTTCACTGCACTTGTAATTGTTCTGCCTCTTGAGCAAATATTTAATATTAACATGAAGAAATTATTAACAAAACATTATGACCCAAAATACAGGAAATCACAAATAATTTCTGTAGACAAAAAACCTTTGTTTTGAACTGCAATGTGCTACTTCTGTGGACACTTGCTCTGTCAGTTCCATTTTACTTTTCTCTAAACAGGAATTTTCAAGTAGTAACAAACTTATTCCAACTGTTTCTTCAACAGCAAGCATAAGGAAACTTACCAACACAAATATGTGCTAGCTATAAGATCATGGTTTTGCTGCATTGAAGGAGAAAATAAATTTGCTGGGACAGAAAAATTAGATTCACTACAAAATTTAGGAAACTCAAGGACAAGAAAGGAAAAAAGATGTCAGGAAGTTGAAGACAAAAAATTATTTCAAGAGAGTAATTTTGTGTAAGCAGTTAGTCCATCCTAAATATAAGACTTCAAACATGTTAACACTTTGCAACAAAGATGTGCACAAAGTCTGGAAGTGCACCCAATATATAAATACAAAAGGTGTATCTGGTTTCTCTCCTAGCCTGTTTCCAGTGTGAGATAGAAATACCTTCTACATAACAATTGAGTTAAGTTTTCATCTTCCTGAATCTTTCACTTATCACTTTTCCTAAGTAGGCTTTTAAAATATTCATTTTACATTTTAATATCAAAGGAATAAACTAAGCAGAAGCAACACCAACTCCTCAAATCAAGTCGAGAAATCAGATGATCTCTTCTCCCTCCCAGAAGGTTGACCTTAACACAACCCTAACTTCATTTTGAAGCAAATACCTAGTTTAAGTTTAGAAATGCACAGCTTCTATTGAAAGGAAGAACACTTACAATCACCCTAAATTCCTGCAAGCCACCTAGAACAAACATAACTTTAAGAATATTTATACCCGGAAAATAAGCACTATGCTGAACGTTAACAAAAATTAATAACCAAGATCTAGTAAGCCTATCCACTAATCTTTCAGTCCACTAAAGAATGAAATATGGTGTTCTCATTTTGCTTACTTTTCACCTATTAGCAGGGCAATAGGGGTATCTAAACGATTTAAAAATAAGGGCATGTTCTCACAAAAATGCACTCTCTTCCTACATATATTACAAACTATGATTATGAAAAGGCCAAAAATACATGGGCACGTGCTCACAAGAGCCATCACACTTATTCAGCAAAATGTGTAGATTAAGAGAAAGTACAGACTGGATTTAATGCATGAACACATGAATTTTGTTTTGTATTCTTATCTTTTTAAATGTAAATAAAGCAGTTATTACTCACCAAACAATGCCCTGTGCCCCTGATCCTATGGGCTTCAATTGCTGGTACCGTTTTAGTACAGTGAATGTTGAATCTGCAACTTGAACACTGTAAAACTGACTATCACATTTACTGTCACTCATGGTGTAGTGTCATGTAGTTTTCTCTCAAGGATCTGGTGTAGTTTTCAAGATCTTAAAGAAAAAGAAAGAAAACAAATGTTCAATCTCTCACTAATTTCAGGCTGACAAGATGGAAAAAACATCATACATATTTTAATACACAGCCATTTTTCAACAGCATATCATTAAATAAACATTCTTTCAACTTCGTTTATTACCACCGGTAATGAAACGCACTTGCAGACAGACAGCAAAAAATTATAGACTTCAAAGCCTTCAATAAATGCCTATTTCCACTCCAATCTCTAAAACAAAAAGCAGCTAAGTAAACAACTGTAAAAACAATGAAAAACACCCAAATCAAACTCTACTCTGAAGGCTACACCCCAACTTAGAATTACTACTATGTGCTAGGACTGTATTAATTTCTGTATTAAAAAAAAACACACCATAAATTATTTCTTTTAAACACTGATGACACAGATAAAAGT